TGTAAGGTGACACGGGAGCCATCTATGGCTGCGGAACAAGTTATCTAAAAGCCATCTCAATTATAAGCCTTTATTATAGCGAACATTTGTGGGTCAGGAGTTCAGCAGCAGCCCAGGACCACATTTTCATGGAGAGTGACATCAGAGATTCATTACTTGAAGGCTAGACAGCGCTACAACTCTGCTTCCAGCGTGGCTCCTCGCACAGCTGAATTCCCGAAGGACTTGCTGGGCTCCTCCGTGACCTTCCCATATGGCCACCTGAGTCACAGGCACCACCAGTCCATGCTGCTGTGGGACTGAGTGCAGTGGCCCTGATGCATGCGGATGGCAGAGCTGGGAGGTTGAGGGGTGTAGTCTCCCGGGGCCATCATTGAAGGGGCTCTTCAGTGTATTCAGGGACGGTGAAAATATGAAACAAAATGGATCTGCGGCCTTCCAAGGGAAGGTTTGCCTGTCGGGTGACTGCGCAGAAGCTTTGGGAAAGATTCTTAGTAGGAGTGATGGAAGAACTACATATTAATGAGGAGAGGAAACCAGTCTGACGAAACAAATTTGGTTTAATTTAAGTGATTGAACAGTGGGATTCTTGACAGTAAAGGGCCAGATGGGAAGTGTTTTCAGGTTTTTGTGGGCCTCAGCATCTCTGTCAGATGGCCTGGAGTTGAGAGGGTTTTTATTTATTTATTTACTTATTTATTTATTTTTTTTTTCATGACCCTCTGAAAATAGCAGAGCTATTCCTGGCAGCAAGCTTGACTTGCCAGCCCCTGCCCTGGTAGAGTGCTATAACCAGCAGCTAGCCCAGAACTTGAAAAAATACCTCAGAGAACCAAATGGCTTTACTAAGTGCTAATTACTACTTTATAGTTTCACAGCTGACTGCCCTTCCTAATGACTTACAATTTAACAAAAATTAAAAATACCCTCTCTGAATAAGTGAGCTCCATGGCTGTAGCCTTAGATTCTCAAGTCTGCTCAACACCAGCAACATCATGGACCAGTCCTGAGCCACGCCCAGGGGCCTGCTCTCTGCTCTGATACCCTTACAGCCCGTTGGCGTGGGTAGTGAGTCCACGTTTCTTGCATGTTCAGCAGGCACATGTCTACCTGAGTCTTCTCAGATCCCTGTAGAGACCATACATCTCTTTCAGGATATCTCTTCCCTAACTCAAGTTCCCAGCACAATCCAGTTTCAGATCCGGTTCTGTATAGAATTGTTTGGAGCCTGGGGGTGTGGCTCACAGCAAAGAGAACTTGTTTAGGAAGGCTCAGCCCTAAAGGAGCCCATAGGCTGGAGAGAAAGTGGTGGAGAAAGGACACAGCAAATTCCCATATCAGAGTACTCAAGCCACTGAATTACAGGTGGTTAGGAGCTTCCATGTAGGTGCTAGAAACTGGGATCCTCTGCTCTTAAGAGCTGAGTCATCACCCCATCCTACAGATAGAATTTTACTATTGATTCCCAAGCCAAGTGGGTAGAGAAGCTTTTAAAATTAATCCCAGTGATTGTCTGGGGCCTGGGTGTTGGGGCAGATGGGCTTGCTCACAGGTGTAGAGGGAGACCGGCGCTGGAAGAATGGTAAGGTCCTGACATGGATTGCTCATCAGTTCTGCAGGAGGCCTGCTGGAGTTCTGGGGGAAAGACGGCTAGAGGCTCTGTAATCTGACATGATTTAACACACGGGGAAATGTCCAGAGTACATACAAACACTCCCACTTCGTGTAAAGGGCTTGAGGATCTGGAGGTTTGAGGGCCCCTGAAGATGGCGTGCGACAACTGCATGTGTAAAACAGAAGTCTCATGCAGCTGATACTAGCAAGGTAAACTTGAGAGACGTTAGCTGTCCCCAGTCTAGCTGAGGGTGTTTTCGCCCTGGATATAAACCACGGGCAGGCAGCTTTCATTTCCCTGAGCAGCAAGCGGTGGGCACCGTAAGCATTGGGCGCAGCCTTGGTGTCACCCTCCAGTATTGCAGTCACTGAACTAGTCAGGGACCTTTAACCCTGCAGATGTTACCTTCCCTGTGTGGGCTTCGAGTAGCAGGCAAGCTCTCAGCAGCTGAATGCCCTGACTCCTGAAGACACCGTGCAAGCCAGTGCTGTTTGAACTGGTTTGTAGCCAACATTTGGGAATATAAAGCCTTCGTTACTGAGTGGTGCTTGAGGCGTCTGGCCTGACAAATGGCTATGATTAGGCCAAACACTGCTTCCTGGATTTCATAAGCAAGCTGCTAGGCTTACTGAGTGGGCTAGATAAGTTCCTGCACTTCCTCCACGGTGTCGGTGTCGTAACAACCAGTCCCATAAAGACTTTTCTCCCGGGGCGGCGAAGAAATGACTCAAGGGTCAAGAGCACTCGCTGTCCTTCCAGAGGACCAGAGTTCAGTTCCTGACACCCACACCGGTGGTTCACAGCCGCCTGCACCTCCAGCTCCAGAGGAATCTGGTCCAGTCCATCTGCTTCTACAGACATCTACACTCCTGTGACACATCCATGCATAAAAACAAATCTGTTTTAAAATAACAGCAGTTTAGTGACTGGGGAGATGGTTTGGACAAGGGAGGGCCTGAGTTCCTATCCCCAGCATCCATGGTAAAGAGTCAGGCATAGTGGATTGAACCTGTAATTCTACAGATTCAGTAGAATAAGTACAGTAAGTACAGAGGATGCAGAGATGGAGACCCCCCGACCTTCAAGTTAGTTGGTTTTGTCAAGTCTGAGCTACAAGTTTCAGTGAGAGACCCTATCAGAAGGTAGCTGGGCATGGTAGCATTAGCTTTTCATCCCAACACTGGTGTGGATCTGAGTTGGGGGCTAGCCTGGTCTCTATGGGAGTTCCAGGCCAGCCAAGACTACATCGAGACTTTGTCTCAAAAATCTGAAATAAGGTAGAGAAAGATAAGGAAGACACCTAACGTTCTAAGTTGTAATATGAAATAGAATTTTCTTCTTGTTTAAATTCTTAAGCTAAACCAGTTAGCTTGTAGAGAAGAAATAAAGGGCAGTTAAGAGTTATTAAAAGTTTGGTTATTGGGCCACTTCCAGTGGCCCACACACAAATACACGTACACATAAAAGTAAATGTAGTTTTAAAAACGTTATTTTCCCCCTGTGTATGTGGTGTGCGTGTGTGTACGTTAATGTCTGTTGTTTGTGTGTGCCCCTGGAAGAGAGAGAACAACTTATATAGTCTGTTATTCCTTCCACCATATGGGTTCCTGGTCCTCAGACTTGGCAGCGGGTCTCTCTTCTCACAGAGCCAGCTCACTGGCCCATAATGAAAATATTAACAACTCTTTCTAACTGCCCCTGTCTTTCTCTATTTCTCTTCTGCAAGTTAAACTGGTTAAGCTTACAAGTTTAAACAATAAAGAAGAAAATTCTAATTCATTTCTGACTGGTAATGAAGCCGGTATTTTCTATTACTTATTAGACACACCTGAACTTAACAATCCACATCCTACACTCAAATTAAGGCTGGTGGTCATGAGAAGACAATGGCATGCGCTGGTGACACAGGCCTAACATTAGGAAGACACAAGCAAGCAGGAAAAGTGATCCAACAACTCAGGTGGGAAGCCACACACTAACAGGTCCCTTGTTTCTCAGCCGTGTGCCCAATAGCTGTATCAGAACCAAAACCAAGGCTGGGCAGTGGTGGTGCATGCCTTTAATCCCAGCACTTTGGAGGCAGAAGCAGGTGGATCTCTGGGAGTTCGAGGCCAGCCTGGTCTACAAGAGCTAGTTCCAGGACAGGCCTCAAAGCTACAGAGAAACCTTGTCTCGGGAAAAAAAAAAAAAAAAAAGAAACCAACATCAAGCCACTGCGGAATGGGTTCTGTACAGACCACCCAGAGTTAAGAAGCTCACAGGGGAACTATGGACTCTATTTAAACCATATATCCAGCTCTCTGAGGACAGCGTGCTTTTTGAGAAAACGAAGTGTCCTAGGCACCGTTTATCCCAGCCATGCTGGTCAAACGGCACTACAAACGCCTGCTGGAGGGTGAGCGTGCACTGAGAGCCCTTTCCTGACCTGGGGAAGGATGGACTCTGGGCAAGCTTAATCAACTTCCTAAAACCAACAAAACAACCTTCCTACCAACAAAAGAGGCCAGAAGCAGAGCCAAGAAAGTGAGCCCACCGCCTTCCTGGCGCTCCTTTCTTAGTGTGAGCTGACTGCAAACCAGGGAGGAGTGGGAACAACACCGTGGCAGTGGGCCCAGCCCTAGCCTCCATCCCAGCATGGTCTCCCACTCAGGGCTGTAGCCCACATGTTCTGAGTCTGCATTCAAGGGTCAGTGGCCGAACTCCCAGGCCTCCCAACCCTGCCAAGATTACGCCAGCACTGTGGCACACCCTAGAGGCCCCCGTGGCTTCCCACACACACTATATTCTGTTTTGTGCCCCCCCCCCATTTGGCTTCTAGTTTGTGCTTTTCAGTGGGGTTTGTTACTTTGGGGATCTATGGAACTCTTCTGTGGAGAATCCTGGGATACGAGGCTGTCCTTCGAGATGTCTCTTCCAAGTACCCAGGGTACTGACTAGCTGTGGAGTGGGATGTGTGAGGTTGACGTGATACTGTATTTTTAGAGCTGACTTTTGCCTATTTTCTCAACTTAAAAATTAAGGCAGAACACTAAATCATAAGACATTTACTTTTATGCTGGTGAGATCCCTAAAGAAAGAGTTGTGACTGTGGCTGTGGCCTTCAGTGGTCTCAGGAACTACAGGCCAGGCTTTCCGCAGGGACTTTTCAAAACACTGCTGTTTAGGACTGGAGAGATGGATCAGTGGTTAAGAGCACTGGCCGCTCTCCCAGAGGACCGGGGTTCAATTCCTAGCACCCGCATGGCAGCTCATAAGTGTCTGTAACTCCAGTTCCAGGGGATCAGACACCCTCAGACAGACACACAGACAGGTGAGACACAAATGAACACTTAAAAAAAAAAAAGACTCTTGTTTAAAAGTAAAAAGGAGACAGTCACAAAAATAGTTACAGTATGAACCCAAGTTTAATGAAACAAAACTAACTTTCATAGGCATAGAAAAATTCTAGGTCTATAAAAACGGTGATTTGACCCACAGGGAGAGCAGAGGTCTATACCAGTCAGTAGATTCAATACCTCTTTTTTAGACTGCAAGCATGAATTGCCTATACATATACACATGTCTCTATACACATCTTTAGTGTTTTAAACCTTAATTTGATGACGGTAGGAAGCCAGGCATAATGATCCTCACCTGTAATTCTGGTCCTTGAAAGGTGGAAGGAGCCCAAAGTCAGCCTCACATCCACGGTGAATTGAAGGCCAGATTGAGTTACTCATACTACTACAAGGAGAGGCCCGGCGGATCTCTGTGAGTTCAAGGCCAGCCTGATCTACAGAGCGAGTTCCAGACAGCCAGGGCTACACAGAGAAAAAGAAAACAACTACAAGAAACTCTGAGGCGGGAAGGAAAAGTGAGCTTGGGGGAGGAGTTTCAACCTAGGCCAGGAGCACAAAGCCCCCAGTCAGAGCCAGCAGGAACCCAGGACCACGGAAAGTAGAGGAGGGAAGTAGGCTCTTTGTTACACAGCAGGTCCCCAACCTCTCTTTTTAGCTGGTAGAAGCTGAAAAGACGGCAGGGACTTGACAAGGATCCCAGTCGGGGCATGGTGGTGCACACCTGGGATTATTCCAGCACTTGAGATGCTGAGACAGGAGTTTCAGGAAAACCTGGGCTACAAGATCTGTCTCAACAACAACCAAAAAGAGCCAAGTATAGCAGCCCAAGTCTGTAATCCCAGCACTTGGGGAGATGGAAGTAGGAAGATCAGAAGTTCAAGGTCATCTTCAGTTCAAGGCTAGTCTGATCTTGAAAATCCCAGTCACCGCTGGAACCCATAGTGGCCTCTGTAGAGCGATCTACACCATCATTTTGGATATAGTACACGATGGGGACCCTGAGGGTCAGAAAGCAACTTCTTATTCACCTTCTTCACAGAGTGGAGCACTATAAGGTCATGCGGCCACCAGGAACAAAGGACAGCAGCCAGATCCCTGGGGAAGGTTCGGGGAACCCACCCTGGCTTAGCTGGCAGTACATGAGGAGAGGGGAGCTCTCCTTTGGTGAAGTGACTGGAATCAGCAGGCAGAGGTGGCACTCCTGCCAGGGGAAGCAGGCAAAAGCTTAAGACCAGTGCAGGGGAAGTGCAGCCCGGTCCTGTCCCAGCCCAGTGCTGTGGCGGCACAGTACCTACAGCAGAGGCTGGGAGAGAAGGGCTCCGGACCACTCCCAGGAGCCACAGCCTCACACTGCTGGTGCCGGGGCCCCAATGCTGGACTGGGTACCACGGACAGGGAAGATTCCAGCAGGTCCCAGCTCTTGCAGCCTTGACAGGAACCACATTCATCCACACTTGCCTTTCCTCTTCCTTGTCCAGCCATTCTTCCTTCCTTCCTTCTTTTCTTCTTGACTCTTTTTGGTGCGGTATCTGACTGAAGGTGGGGACAGGTTAGCTCCAGTTTACAAAGAACCTGAGGATTCACCTCAGGCCTCCCTCCCTCCACACACAGACCCACACACAGCCCCCACAACAAGCTCAGCTCCAGTTGAGGCTAAGAAGTCCCGTGGCAGGTCTTGGCTTGGGACTCAAGGTAAAGTTCTCGGGCAAACTTTGCTGACTTAGGAAAAAAATGAAACTGTCTTAAAGACACCTCAGACCCCACAGATTGTTGGCTGAGGGAAACGTGGGAACAAACACCCGCTGGGGGCAAGGAAGGGAAACAGGGTGTAGCTGTCAGCAGCAGACAGGAAGTAAGGAGGTCCTGTCCTAAAGGGAAGTGGGACTCTTTCTGTGACACCAAGATGAACCCCAACCAATCCATCGTCACCTTCCTGGGGGCTGAGGAAACCAAGGAAAGTGTGTGCAGCTCATTAAGAGAAATGCCTTTCCCACTACAGGGACACAGTCCAGTAGCTGAACACTGGCTTGTACCAAGCGACTAAATAAGTACAAAGTATACAAAGTATTCTTTATAGAAACATGTACAGACCCAGAAGGGGAGTGGAGCTCAGAGATAGAGCGCTTACTCAAGTCAGCAGGTGTGAGGTTCCAGGTCCCATGATGCCCCAGCTAATAAAAATGATAACATTTTCAGAAAGTATAAATTTTTCCCAAGACAAAAAAAACCCAAAAAAACAAAAACAAAAACAAACAAACAAACAAAAAACCCTCAAGATTAACTCTGCCCATAACACTGTGGACCAATTCATGGAGGCTCTTCATCAGCGGTGACAATCCTGAGGAATGTTCAGGAAGCCAGGTCCTGAGACTTCAGGGCAGCAAATGCAACACTGCCTTCCTCAGACTCCAGCTTGCAACTGCTCAGGGAAACCCTGGGAAGAAGTCTTGGCACAAACCAAGGAAATGAAAGAGGCCAAACCTGTCTGTGGGGACAGACAGCAGGAAGCAGACAAACAAGCGTTCTCTCATGTACTGCATGCACATCGGTAATGAAAAGCCAGACTGTACCAGGTTAAGAAGTTACGGTGGTTGCCCCCTGTGTCACCAGGCATGGGTGCAGACCTGTTAGCTTATGGCACTCTCGGAATGTTCAATTATCCACTCGATGGCAGCCCAGCCCTACAACAACACAGAAGGACTTCAGTTCTTGCTACGTGCAGCAAGTCACCAACCTGCGACACAGAGAGACTGGGACGGACTTCAGGGCAATAGTAACGGGCTGGGACAGGTGCCTTTCCCCTCAGATCCTGGTTAGCCTTTCTATGTTCCCACCAGAAAAACACAGTGAGGAATGCTGTGGCCTTAGGAGCTCAACTACAAAGACCCCAGTTCTCAGGAGAACCAGACATGTCACCACTTCATCTGTCACATTGCCCCTGAGAGCACCAGACCCCCGTCCTGAGATATCACCTTCTTTGCATTGGAGGATATCGTGCTGGCCATTAGACTTTCCAGGTAGCTCCCGAGGCTAATCCCCTTCACAGTGATGATGGCTTCTTGGGTGAGCACAGTCCTGCAGAAGAATTGAAGTGAGGGGCTGACTGACCCTGGGAAGGAAGCTCTGTCCACCCCTGCTGTTCAAGGACCCCATCCCAGGATGAGATGACTCACTTTTCAGGGTTCTCTGGATGAGGTGTGTATACCAACCTCTCATTCACAGACACCAGATTTGTGAGCGTGATCTTTAAAAGACGAAACAAACAAACACATATAAAAAATTAAAAAATAGGCCAGCAGGGCAGTGGTGGCATACACTTTTAATTCCAGCACCCAGGAGGCAAAGGCAGGGGAATCTCTGTGAGTTTGAGGCCAGCCTGGTCTACAGAGTGAGTAGACCAGGACAGCCAAGGGCTACACAGAGAAACCCTGCTTCAAAAAACATATGTATACATACATATACGCATACATATATCAATTAATAACTGGCTTTAGGTTTTAATTTTATTGTATTTCTTTTCAAACCATCTACACTTTCAGCCCCAAATGAACACTTATGAAAGCCAGAGAAAGGAAATATCCTGTGCCCCCTCCCCTCTACACCGTATGCTAGGAACAGCACTGGGCAGCTCCTTCTGGTGATTATTGATCCCTCCCTCCCCACGCCTGAGGAAGGACCTGCCTTCAAGGCGCTCACACACAGCCACGCCCACCGGCAGCTGTGGGACAGACAATCCACTGGTAGTGTCCATGGCAACAGTAGTGAACTTTCCAGCCCGTGTGCCACACTGGATTGGAGGTCCTGGCTCTGGACTGGATGAGCTGGAGCTTGGGATCCACACAGAGGCTTCAGCAGCCTTATCTCCAATCCTCCTTCCTGTCAGCCAGCTGACTTACTGTTGTAGTTGCTACTAAAACCTACCTAGACCAGCAAGATAGCTCAGCAGATAAAGGTACTGATCACATCAGCCTAGCAACCTGAGTTTGATTCCTGGAACCCATGTAAAGAGGAAAGGACAGAACTGACTTCATAAAGCTGTCCTCTGACTTCCGCATGCATGTAATGGCATGCTCACACAGACTCACACCACACACACACACACACACACACACACACACACACACACACACACGGGTTAAAAACAAAACAAAAGACCTAAAAACTGCCTCTAGAACAGCATGGTGAGCAGAACTCCCCATGTGCTACAACGTTGCACTTGTATGCCAGCTACAAACACACACGGCTAATGAACACCCAGGGTGCAGACCAAGGAATGGCTCTTTAACATTTTATTTAATCCTAATTAAATGGCCACATGAGGCTGCCACACTGGTCAATGAAAGTGGAGGGTCCCTGTAGTCTTTCTGTACAGCAAGAAAGCAGTTCATGAGGAGAGAGAAATGAAACTCCAGCCTCATTTCGGTAACCAGTGCTGGGCCAAGACTTCGAGAGTCTGACATCAGCTCATTTATGTTTGCCAAATTTAAGCACAGCACAGTTTTGGAAAAAAATGTTTTCTGATAACAATTAACTCAGCCCTGTGAGAATAACAAAGCTGAAGACGGGTTTGCACTGAAGCTCTTTACAAAGTACATATGGCTTTGTCCATAAGATGGATTCTAGACTTAGAAACAGGGCTCAAGGTAAGATAAGGGTCTGGAGAGAATGAGTGAGGTAAGCACAATGCCCACGGAGTCAGGGTTGGGCCTGGCCTGAAGACAACACAGAAGTCACTTAGCTAATCTCAGGACTAGGAAGGCAGAGACAGGTGGGTCTCTGGGAGTTCCAGGCCAGTCTGGTCTACATAGTGAAACCCTGTTTCACAATTAAAAGTAAAATTCAAAAGTCAGGGTAAACATATCTGCTTCCTCAAATATTTACAATTTCGTGGTGAAGACATTCCAAATATTTTCTTCTAGTCCTTCCAGTTCTACCAATATATATTGTTAGCTGGGCATGGTGACACACATCTGAAGGACATCTATGCATTCAAGGCCAGCCTGATATCGTAGCATACTCTAGGCCAGCTAGGGCTACATAGTGAGGCCCCCCTTCTTCTTCTCCTTCTCCTTCTCCTATATAAAATACACAGTCATCCAGGTGTGCAATAATACACCCAGACTCAGTTCTCCTATCTAGCTGGTTATTGCCCTTTTCTATCTATTTTATTTGTTTATTTTTACTTACTTTGAGGCAGGGTCTCACTATGTAGCTGTCTGTCCTGGAACTCACTATGCAGATCAGGCTGGCCTCAAACTGAGATCTGTCTGGTACATACACCACCACCTATTTTATATGTTGATTATACATGAATAAAAAGACTAGAAAAAGGCAGGCGGGGCATAGCCTCAGCACTCCAGAGGCAAGGCAGGGGGATTACCATAATTTTTTTTTAAATACTTATTTATTTATTTGTTATGTATGCAATATTCTGTCTGCGTGTATGCCTGCAGGCCAGAAGAGGGCACCAGACCCATTACAGATGGTTGTGAGCTACCATGTGGTTGCTGGGAATTGAACTCAGGACCTTTGGAAGAATAGGCAATGCTCTTAACCTCCGAGCCATCTCTCCAGCCCTGATTACCGTAAATTTAAGACCAACTTGTGATATCCAAAGAGTTTCAGACTGACCTGGGGTATAGTGAGACCCCCATCTAAAAGCTTTGCTTTTTTTTTAATTAATTAATTTATTATGTATACAATATTCTGTCTGTGTGTATGTCTGCAGGCCAGAAGAGGGCACCAGACCTCACCACAGATGGTTGTGGGCCACCATGTGGTTGCTGGGAATTGAACTCAGGACCTCTGGAAGAGCAGGCAATGCTCCCAACCACTGAGCCATCTCTCCAGCCCCTAAAAGCTTTGCTTTTAAAGATAAAATGCCACTAAATAAATTCAAATCTCCTATTAAAAATAAGCATACCTCGAGCAAAAGGCAAGCTGGAAATACAATTTAAGGGAGGCATTAGCGCCACCGCCAAGAAACATTTAAGCACCTTTCTCATCTTAGACCTCTGCTTACATTGGTGGAACACAGTTCCATTGTCCTTGCAGCCGGATCCACAACGGAGCGCTCTTTGATGTATGTCAAGGTCCTGTTGGCTCCCAAAATCTAGGAGACAAAAAGAAAGCTACTATAGCGACATGTCCAGTTACTCATTTCTTCACACGAAATGCTCTTTACCTGCCGATATAGCAGTGGGCAGAAGGGTCAAACCCTGGCAGACAGAGAACGGATTTCAGAGTTTAACACTTGACAAGAATGAATGTTTTGACAAAAAAAATTAAAACCAGGGAACCCCGGGGATCCCGAGAAGAGAGGCTTCTCTGCTGGCCAGAGCTCTGAAGGAAAGACTCAGCCTGCAGGATTCTATGTCACAACCTGACACAGGATCCAAGAGTGGTAAAAGGGCCACAAGGAGACAGCAGGAGATGGTAGGGCCTTGTAAGGATCTGGGCTCTGAGTGGAGGGGAAGCCAGCATGCAACCATACAGGGCAAAGCTGTCCCGGCTGTTATAGTCCCACAGTTCTCCACCGGACCCCACCCCACCCCCATCCCTGACTCTAAGAGCAATGTGTCTACCTGAAGTTCCTCTGTAAAGATCTAACTGAAGCATTACAAAATAGGGGGTTCTAGGCCTTGACAGATGTCACTGAAGAAAGGTCACCCAGCTCACTTATCTCAGAGTGACTAGTGTGCTTCCCAAAAAGCGGAATGGGACCCGTGGACAGCCCAAGGAGAAGAGGGCACAGGACTGCGGCAACCATGCCCAGCCGTTCGTGGCACCCCTTAGTAGTAAGGACCGGCGGCCACGCAGGGAGGCTCACCGCTCGCACGAGGCCGGGCAGCCCCCACTCGGTACTGAGCAGGCGCAGACTGTGCAGGCGCCCACAGCCGTCCACACTGCGCTCCAGCACGTCCACGCCCACCACGCACGGGTTCATCGGGTTTGGGTACTTCCGCATGGCAGCCTTGATCACCGTGTCCCAGGGATGGCTGGCAAGAGAACACAATCAGCAGAGGAAGTGGCCCTGAGGCTGAGGATCTGGGGTTCTGTCTGAGCCCAGGACTCCAGAGGAGCCCCAGGTCTGTGCTGGGCCTATGCAGGGCCATGGAGCTTAACTCACTTTGAATTTTTCCTCTCCTTGCTCTCCTCCAGCTCACAGGAGGTAGAAGCCTTTTGTGGAGACTTATCAGCAGTGAGACAAGCCTCCTTGTCTGCGCCTTGCTGGAAAAACACAGGCGGCTGTCCTTAATGCAGGCTGGACCCTGACTTCCATTTGGGCTTACAGGTAGTGTGGCATATTGGAAACACCCACGTGTACCCAAGCAGGCTTTTGTTCCTACAGGCTCAATGCTACCAAGAACCAAGGACAGTTCCCAGCTGATTGAATTTGGGCCATTATCGACTTTACAATGGTACAAATGTGTATCTCAGTCCTCCTCTTCCACTTTCAGAACAGACTAAAAGGACCTCAGACCCCTTGAAGCTGGAGTTACGGCAGTTGTGAGTGGCCCCTCCAGGGCCCTCTACAAGAGTGGTATACACTTTTGAACTGCTGAGCCATTTCTCCAGCAGTTCTTACTAATAACACTTTCTTTCTTTCTTCCTTCCTTTCTTTCTTTCTTTCTCTCTCTCTCTCTCTCTCTCTCTCTCTCTCTCTCTCTTTCTTTTTTTTTGTTTTTTTGTTTTGTTTTGTTTTTCGAGACAGGGTTTCTCTGTAGCTTTGGAGCCTGTCCTGGAACTAGTTCTTGTAGACCAGGCCTGCCTCTGCCTCCTGAGTGCTGGGATCAAAGGCATGCGCCATCACCGCCTGGCCAACTAATGATATTTTCAACCTGCAATCTGGATTTGACAGAAGTATCTGCACTTTTAAACCTCTAAGTGGTACGTGGCTTGAAGCAATTTAAGTTTTTCCTATGTATGAGCATTCATGTATGTCTGAGTGAATATTTGTGCACCACGTGTGTGCCTTGTGCCTGAGGAACATAAAAGAAGTCTTCGGATCCATGGAACTGGATTTCCAAGTGGTTGTAAAGCTGCCATGTGGGCCTGGGAACTGAACTCAGGCCCTCTGCAAGTACAGTAAGTGCTCTTAACCACTGAGAATCCCAGCCTCACAGAGCTTTTTTTTTTTTTTCTTGAGTTGGGGTTTCTCTGGGGCTTTGGAGCCTGTCCTGGAACTCACTCTGCAGACCATGCTGGCCTCGAACTCACAGAGGTCCACCTGTCTTTGCCTCCCGAGTGCTGCGATTAAAGGCGAGTGCTACAACCACCCGGTATTTTTAACCTTTTTGTTTCTTTATTTTAAACTGTTAAAAAACACCTTTAATCCCACCATTTAGGAGTAGAAGCAAGTGGATCTCTGAGTTCCAGGCCACACATGGTGCACAAACATACAAACAAATACAAAACTTAGAGTTGTTTCAAGCAACGTACCACTTAGAGGTTTGAATGACGTGAAGATTCTCCTGCCAAATCCAGAGTCTGGGATTAAAGGCTGTGCCACCACTGCCTCAAAACATCTTTATTTTCTAAAGATTTTATTTTATGTGTAGTGTTTTATTTGTATGTTTATATGCACCAGTGTGTGCCTGGTGCCCATGGGGGCTAGAAGAGGGCATCGGTCCCCTGGCTGGAATTATTGGCAGTTGCGAGCTGCCTGGTATCTTTAAAGTGATCAAGTCCAACCGGGTTTGGTGGCACACACCTTTATACCAGCATGGGGGGGGGGCATAGGCAGATAGAGCTGAGGTTGAGGCTAACCTGGTCTACAGAACGAGTTCCAGGACAGCCAGCATGCAAGCCTGGCAATGCTGGGTGTTGAGAATGGCGTGGCTGGCTGGAGGCGTGTGAGCGCCCCACGGGAGCATCTGACGGGTCATTTGCCTGCAGAAGCTGCAAGTGCACAGAGCACTCTCTGGCACGTTTAGGCAGACGAGTTGGACAGAGACCACTCTCAACAGGCGGAGTCCCAGCTATACACTGAAGTGTGGTGCAACTGAGTCAGATTCCAAAGGAAGGGAGGCCTCTGCTGCCACCCATTCTAGAATGGCCCCAAGCATCCATACCAGGGTCTGCCTGGAACCACAGAGAGCAGGTGAAAGGTTGAACGCCGGCTTCCACGCTGTATTAGAGTTCTCTAAATAAAGAGAACCGATAGAATGTATGTGTGTAATATATATGCATTGTTTTCTTATATATGCTGCGTATTATATATTAAATATAATATATTTATATTATATATTCTATGAACATATTATAATTTATAAATATTATAATAAAATAGTATTTTATATATATATATATATATATATATATATATACACACACAGCCCTCTATCTATGTGAGCCTGGACTTTATACACACACCTCAACCAAGGCAATACATTACAAAACACTGATGCAGAGGTAGATAAGAGAATCAAGCTACAGAAACCCAGAAATCATGGATATTATTTTTCAAGTGCCAGTCCTCCAATTTTTGGAAAGTGCAGTTGTTAAGTTTTTATTTTTTTATTGTTGAGAGAGGGTCTCATATACGTTCAGCTGGCCTTAAACTTCTGATATAATATAAATAGTATATCATATATAGTTTTATATATATATATATATATATATATATATATTTTAAAGGGAATCTATTAGACTGGCTTACATGATATGGTCTGGGTAGTCCCACGATCACTTTCTTACACTGGAGAAGCTGAGAATCTGGCACCAGCCCAGCCCATGAGGCTGACTGATCCCAACAGTCCCAGTCTGGTGCTGAAGGTCTGGAGGACCCCGGAGAGCTGCTGGTCTTCAGGCTGTGCAGGAATCCAGGAGAACTGGTGCTGATGTCAGTGAAGGGGTGCCTTAGCAACAGGAAGCAGGGATGCCTTAGCAACAGGAAGGATGAACTTGCCAGCAGGTATGAAAGCAAGCAGACAGAATGCAAAGCTTCCTTCTTCCATGTCCTTTGATCAGTGTGGCCATAGGGTGAATCTTCTGGCCTCAAAAACCTGATCATAAAAATTCCACGCAGATTTACCCAGCAGTTTACACTTGAGTTGATTTGAGACCCAGTGAAGTCAACAACCAAGATCAGTCATCACCCTAGGCAAAGCAGGATGGCAGAAACTGATGTCCAAGATTTGCCTAAATCATCCAGGAAAAGGTCAGTGGTAGTTGGGGGCTGTGGACCCCCAGACCCTGAATTTCCTGTCAACAACTTGTTTTCCTGTGTTTGATGCTACTCTGAGCAGGAGACCCTCTAGAGTTCCTGATAGCAGGGGAGTGGTTTCTGGTGGGTTTGGCTGGGGCGTGGCTATCAGTTAAGGATCCCTATATAAGCTGCCCCTGAACACAATAAAGGGGGTATTCTTGTTTCAAGGATGACCTGTGTCCCCATGTCTCTGTCTCTGTGAGTATGTATGTGTGTCAATCTCAAGGTCCTTTGCCCGAGACTCGTGAACCATACCGTAGCGCGTAGTAGCATGGATGGTACAGTGGTGGGAATGCAAAGGAAACCAAGCAAACTGTAAGAGGACCAGTTAGCTCAGGAGACCCACCATGTGTACAGGACTCTGCTCTTTTCCATGTTTGCTTATTTCTAAAAGTTGTAGAGTTAAAGGTTTAGAGGTAGGGTGGCTAAGAGGCAGTCACAGGACCAATAGCTCAGCCATACCCTACCTCCAGTGGGTTCCGAAGAGCGTGGGTCATCCCCTGGGAGCTCTAGACCCTCTTAGGAAGTGGTTGTCACAGCGTGATTGGGACTTTATAAGCTCTCTAGTCCTATCAACATTTACAACGATGGCTCTTAAAGCAATGGGGAAAAGTGCTGGGCTCTCCCAGCAATGCAGGCCAGGCTCCAAACCACAGCCTGGTCACGGCTGCTCACACACGCACTCAGGGAAACAGCTCAGGATTCTCTTAGGAGTATGTGATGAAGTGGGAAAGTGGTTAATTTTATCATCACTTGACCTCTGAGGACTCTTTGTCAATCTGCAAGAGAGCAGGCTGTGTGCCAGAAATACTTCGGCACAACGAGCCGCACTCAGGCTGCCCTGGATAGATCAGGCTGTTGTGTGGGCAGCCCCCCAGCTCAGCGCTGCCTCCCTCCCCCCAGCTCACTGCTGCCGCCCTCCCCCCAGCTCAGCGCTGCCTCCCACCCACAGGGGAGCTCTCAGGCTGTTGTGTGGGGAGCCC